ATAGGTACAAGATTATCTGATTGCCTGCTTCGCACCTGAATAACAGAGCCACACCATAGATGGAGAATATTCAAGTGTGACTATGCAAGATATAGGAGTATCTGATTGTCTACTTCTGTGCTGTATGCGAACCATATGCCGTACATAGGACATATTGAGATATTAACCTGATAAATATTTGAATAGGGGGAAAATTCTAATTATGTAACATATTTCGATTTGACATCTACTGATCTTATTTAGGGTATGTAGCATATGTGTGGTGTCATAGAATTCGCTGAAGTTCAGGCTACTGTGCAACTACTTTTCGAACTCACTCTCAACCTCACCTCCCCCTCTCTCCCCCTCTCCCCCTCTCCTCCCACACACGAATTACCTTGTACATGTGTCTGGTGCATCTATTTAGAATATAATTCACTGCGAACTGATAACAAGACTACTATATTGAGTTCGCAGCGAACTTATATACCTAAATACCTGGAAGAATATATATACCTTATACGTAATTCACATACATATATGTTTGATTATACATAAATACAGAAAGTATTTCGCTGCGAACTGATAATAAGACTACTATATTCTAAATTCTAATTATGTAACATATTTCGATTTGACATCTACTGATCTTATTTAGGGTACGTAGGATATGTGTGGTGTCATAGAATTCGCTGAAGTTCAGGCTACTGTGCAACTACTTTTCGAACTCACTCTCAACCTCACCTTCCCCCTCTCCCCCTCTCCTCCCACACACGAATTACCTTGTACATGTGTCTGGTGCATCTATTTAGAATATAATTCTCTGCGAACTGATTACAAGACTACTATATTGAGTTCGCAGCGAACTTATATACCTAAATACCTAAATACCTAAAAACCTGGAAGAATATATATACCTTATACATAATTCACATACATATATGTTTGATTATACATACATACATACAGAAAGTAATTCGCTGCGAACTGATAACAAGACTACTATATTTGAGTTCGCAGCGAACTGATATTGTGCATAGTATGATGTAATCGATGGTGCTGATTCTGAATGTGAGAGTCCAGATGGCAACTAGTATTTGGAGATCCGTTTCTGTAATTGCAGGTCTCCGAAAACAGTAAAGTAATACGTCATTCGAGAGAGATTTCCAAGCGCTACAAATCGCTGTATTTGTCTTCTCAAAATGTTACCGATAAATACTTATTTGTACTCGGTTTTAGGTAAACGGGTTCCTACTACGGATTTCTGTACGGAGCTGACATAGATGTCTTTTGAATAACTTGAGAACCAAAAGAGACAGAGCGGTCGGGTTTTCAGCATTTTGTAGGGAAGGCTTTACTCTATCTTTGCATATGTTGTGTACGAAAAATCTCGGTTTTCCCGGTGGTGTACCTGACTGATGAAAAGCGATGGGTTTACCAGATTCTGAACCTGTGGTGGATTTTTAGTTGTAACATAGAGGCTAGATAGCCCGAAGTGGCCTCTACAATTTTGCATAAGGTCGACCTCTCTATCTGCTGTGGTCCTCGAACGGCAGTCATTTTTGTGCGCCAATCGTAATTCGTTATCATTTCATCGGGTAAATGCCTGTCATTCGAGAACCACAAGAGATGGAGAGGTCGGCCAGAATTGCAGAGACCACTTTGGACTATCTAGCCACTACGTTACAATTAAAACTTGTTGATTATGACAATAATTGCGCGGGGTTTCGGAAGCCCTTGTTGCAGGGATACGTGCCCCAAAACCTTGCCACGGATTCGGACTACGCAAAGCATAGCTCATAAAAACTTTTGGAAGTTCAGTTCATCGAAAAAACTGAAGGATATATGTATTCAGGAGTCCTCCTAAAACTTAGTTTGAGGGCACATATAGGGGGATGGATCCCTCCCTTAACAGAAACTTTTGACAATTATGTACCTCATCGTTTTCTTCATCGTCATCAAAATCGGGTGTATTATCAAGAGATATCTTTACTAATGTTTGACTTAATCGCTCATCATCATCTTCATCGGTATCCTCTGGTGAACTGTTAGCATCGGACGTTGTTTTTAATTATTTTTTTCCTGTACCCTAAACTTAAACCGTTACATACTATTAGATGTAGTTTATGAGCAAACCATATTCGTTGAATATTTTGTCGATTATAGTTATTAAACGATGCGATCATATTTGTGAATCCTTCACATGTGACAGATGTAATTTTATCAAATATTTTCCATTTCTTCAGCTATGTTCGGTCCAAAGAGTCGCTTATCAAATTTTGAAAAGTATAAGATAACTTATGTCATCCCGAATGTTGTATCGATGTAACGGCCTGTTAAAACACAATGCGCATTCATTTTCTTAAAACCGGACGAAAATTACGATTTTACACAAAAATAAAGACGCGCGGATTTGTGAAACTTGAATGTGACATAAGTACGTCAGAAACCTGTCACTGAAAGTATAAGTCCGATCATTACCAAACTTTTAGGAGATGCTGATTTTGTTAAAGTATGATAACGAAATGTTTTGTTTGGGCTCTATCCCGCATAGTTTGTGAGATGTCACCACAACTATGACCAAAACGGAGCTATTCGTAACTGCAAGGTTTCTCAGTAGTGAAACGTTGTGGATGGCTCGGACTGGTCTTAAGCCGACGAAACACATGTGACTAAAGGCTAATAGAGCTAGAAGCTACATTGAATTTTTGATATTTTACTTTTCAAATTAATGGTCAGTGTCAAAAGTCCCAAATTCGAAAAAGTCTCATTAATTTGCATAAAGATATTTTTCTAACTGCAAATCTAGGTCGAATATCAAAATCGGACTCTATTACACTCTGGCCACATGTGTCTTGCAGCAAATCTTGCAGCTACGGAACGGTGTTACGGTAAAAGTCCCTTTCGAGATATGATGGACAGCAAATCCATTAACTTTTTCCATGGACAGCAGAGTGTTTCCTTCAAAATGGAAATCCTCCAATCTTTTCATTTTTAGGCGTGCTATAGGATTTCCTAGCAGCTTTAGAATTGGTTTCCGACGACTTTTTGTGACCTCAGAAATGGGTGAAGATTTACATTGTCGACCACGATTAAGCCGGTGATGATCTTTGTTTTTTAAAAAGGTTTCAAAAATCTACTGAAAACCTATACTACGTGAAAAAAGATGCGGAAGATATCTGCTACGCATATTTCCATCATAATCTACAGGAAGCAAAGTACATTGGTGATTGAAGTTAGGGTTATTAGTTGTGTACTTGTGTTTTATGTTAACCGGTTGCTCTTTAGTTCAAGTCGAAGAACCTTCTGGATTCACCCTACAAATCGCTTGGTGATCCTTGATCCCTGTTTTTGAAGAATTAATAGGACCGCTTAATTAACGCATAACTTCATCAAAAAAAGCTTCAGAAAATTTGAATAGAATATGGTTTCTTAATTCTGTAACCTTTTTCCGGGCATACCGCTAAACATTCTTTATTTCATGAAAATCTTAAAAAGTTGACCTGTCGAAAACATTTTACGTTCCAATAAGAAAACAAATCCAAAAATTCTTTCAATAACACCAGCAAATATAGGTCAGAAAAACGTTTAAGTGTCAACTTCAAGTACTTTTTTGTTTGCGCTATAATAAGTTATAATTATGACCTTTGGAATGAAAAACAAGTAAATAAACACACAAACATTTCAAAGGAATCCATAATTTGATTGAAAAAATGATGTTGTATGATTATAAGCAATTATTGACAATAGAAATGGTAGGCATAAACAAAACTCTGAATACATCACCCCATAACATAGAAATAAAACACTAAAAAGAAAAAAATTAATCATTATTCTCACATAATAAACAGCATTTTGTATATAAAGCTGACGAAACAGTCGTAGTTACTGCCACATACAAAAACATAGTTTATTTGGTAGCACAAGCCGTTTATCAAAATGAAAAGTATCATGTCCGTTCTACTAGTAAGTGCAATTCATTATCGTGGTTAAACCTTTGACACATACATGCTTTCTCATAGCTGTAAACGAAATCATAGTCCAATCTTCGAACTTCATCCTACACTTGATGTTTTCCTTTTAGCTTTTGATTGCACTATTTCATTTCGGCTGTAATACACCAATCGGTCAACCACCAGGGCCACCCGGTTTACCTCCACCAACCGGACAACCACCGAGCGGCAATAACGGTGGCGGTCAGAGTCCAACGCCTCCTCCAGGTTCAAACAGTGGAGGTAAATAGTAAAAGCTAAATTTCTCTGTGTAAACGTTGCGTTGCAAGTTAAACGAGTTAAGAGCGTTTGAAATAAAACACTTGTAATGTTCCATCATTCATATCAGGGCTCTTCATGATAAAAAGTTGAAAAACACTACGTCCGCCGGTTTGTGGAATAGCCGTTGTACCAGATGATACCTGTAGTCTTTTAATAACATTATTGTAATTTTCTCTCGAAAATGAATACATTTTTAACATACAATTTCGTAGGAAATAACGGACAGAACGGAAATGGTCAAAGCCCTTCACCTCCACCTCCACAAATCGGTGGTAGTTTGCCTCCACCAACCGGACAACCACCCAGTGGCAATAACAACAACAATAATGGTGATGGTCAGAGTCCACCAACTCCTCCTCAAGGTTTAAACGGTGGCGGTAAATAGTAAAAACTAAATTTTTTCGTGAAAAGTTGCGCTTAAACTGCAAGTTAGGTGAGATAAGAGCATTTATAATAACACATTCATGATTATGTGAAATAGAAGCGAAACGTTCTAGAACATATCACCAAATGCATGAAGCATACAAGACTTGAGAACGATAACTGGCTGACATTTCATCGCTCATATAAGATCTTTTCATGATAGAAAGTTGAAAAGCGCTATCTCAGCCAGTTTATGCAATAGCCGTTGTACCAGATGATAACTGTAGTCATGTAATAACTTTATTGTAATTTCCTCTCGGAAAAATGAATAAATTTTTAACATACAATTTCGTAGGAAATAATGGACAGAACGGAAATGCTCAAAGCCCTTCACCTCCACCTCCACAAATCGGTGGTAGTTTGCCTCCACCAACCGGACAACCACCCAGTGGCAATAACAACAACAATAATGGTGGTGGTAAGAGTCCACTACCACCTCCTCCTCAAGGTCCAAACAGGACAGGTAAATAATAGGGACTATATTTCTTCGTGAAAAAGTTGCTCTTAAACTGCAAGTTAAGTGAGTTAAGAGCGTTTATAATAAAATGTAATTTCGTTGGGAATAATAGACAGAGCGGAAATGGTCAGAATGTTATTAGACCTTTGTACTACATTTGTCTAAGATGTTAGACAAACGTTACTAAAATTATATTGTCTAACATTTTTTCAAGATTAGGTAAGAATCGTCGATAATCTTAATCGTAACACTCTTAATAATAAGATATATGACGTTGTTTTATAACATTCGTTCACGATCCACTGGAGGTTTTTGAATATCTAACCTAGACTTTTTGAAGTAGCGCTTTAAGAAATCTGCACAGTGCGGAAAAATGCGATATTCTCGAATGTCCTACCGTGGATATTGACTTACACTCTATCCTCTCTGAAAGGCTGTTAAGCACTTTCGCATTTTGGACACAGGTCACTTTTTCCAAGGTATTTGTCGCGATGCTTATACCTCCACATCTTAGATTATCTTATCAATATCTTAAATATGAAACGGTTAGATCATATAAGGTCTTAGTAAGATAATTTCAGGAAATGTCTAAGATTCTTACTAGGGTACACTCTAAAAAATAGTCGTAGATTAATAAATTATTAGAGTTTATTGAGACCAATAAACCTTTTAAAAAACGCTTTTCCGTTTTTTATTTCCAAAAAAAGTACAAAACGTTCGTGACAGATGCAAAATAAAAAACGGACGGTTTTTTATCAAAAATAAAAGACCCTTTTCAGCTTTTTGTCGAGTCTAAAAAACCAGCTAAAAACCTCTCCAGCTTTTTAGCTAGACTTTAAAGTCTATAAAAAGCTGAAAAGGGTCTTTTATTTTTGATAAAAACCGCCCGTTTTTCATTTTGCATCTGTCACTGTTTCACTTTGTATTTTTTGGAAATAAAAAACGGAAAAGCGTTTTCTAAAAGGTTTATTGGCCTCAATAAACTCTTTTTGATAGTTTATTAATCTACGACTATTTTTTAGAGGGTACAACCTCACTGGAATAATAACTCAGATAACTCTCTCTTATGACTTTGTGTTCGATGTTTTAAATTTTATTTTTTCTATTTTAGGTTAGAGAATTCTCATTGAAGGCGACAAACGTGATCAACTGAACTTTCGCATATAACGTTTATGTATTTTTCTTATGTTCACTTCCTTGAGACTTTCCATTATCTGTTTTTCATTTGCAAATTCCATGCGTTTTAGTAAGTTTTTACAAAGAATTTTGGCAGTTTCTGCTTTTATAATTTTCTTCTTTAAAAAATAAACATTATCCAACTCAACGAGTTTAAACTCTAAAGACTGAAAATATACGAAAACGAAATCAAATATATCGGATGAAAATTCAAGACAAAGGTTCGACCTGTCCACCGAAGTTTGCTACTGAAAGTGTGATTCCACCACGGTTTTTCACTAAATTAAAATAGTCATAACTTTTTAGCGACATATAGTAGAGACTCGAACAACATTTCGTTGGAAAGAAAAGACGCAGCTCTTTAAAAGTTGATCTAAGCGAATTGTTCATAACTTTTCTTTGAAGTGATAAAATGTGAAAAATATGTAGCACTCAACTTCATTTTTCTTTATCAAAGAACATCGATATTCTTTTCATTTTTTCGCCTCTTTATGGTCAAATTTGGAGTGATCA